TCTTGGCGACGGACGAAACGCATACCATCACTTTGGTCTCATCACTGAAGAGAGCCATTTTTCACCTGCTTATCGTCCATTCTACAATATAATCTTTAGCGAACTGCAATCGTCTTAGTTGSTTACGTTTGCATATAAGTGATTTCTTCGCGGATCGTAACTGCGTTAATCAGCATCATTCAGGTAACGAGAGACCGTTATTGAGCAGATTGTTAACCCAAGCTCCTTTACCGATCATGCAGAGCTTTTAAATGGAAACTTTTTGCCTTTCGTATAAATGCGCCGTCAGTTTTTTCGCGAGATTGCCGTACATTTTAATTTTTTTAAATTTTTTCTTTATATAATCAAAAAAGAAAGAAAAATTGCATTACACCTTTCAAAATATGTGCTGCAAATTTAAAAACAAGAAACAAAAAGAAATTCAAAGGAAAAAGTTGCAAATGTTTTGTATGTACTATAGGTATATGAGTAAAAAAAGCAACTGTAAATGCACTGCAAGCATTCATTTCATTGATTTTTCTTTTGATACACTCTTTAAATGGTGACCTTCCTGTCCCTCTCTTGAGTGTCTTTCCTTTTATTCCATTTTTTTTAATTCGGTTTTTGTTCTTGTTGTTACCTTAATCGTGCATGTTTAATAGCAATCAGTCAGTTTGATCAGGCGAGTCAATAAATAAAATAAACAACTGCATTACTGCTGTTATTGACGCTCACTTTGTCGCCATTGTTTTTGTATTTCGTACTGATGCATTCGTTGTGAAGCGCGTGGCACGGTAGCACGTATGTGTGAGTATTTTTGCTCGCCCTCTTTTCATGAGTTTTGGTGTAAAAAACATATGACAATTTTAAAAGCAATTCATCAAACACAATTATGAATTTTGTCTTTTCTTAGGTATATAGTGGATTTTACACACGGGAAGTGTTTCGGTTTTCAAATGCAGCGTGCAATTTGAATTTTAAGTTTTTAGTAGTAGTAGAGTATATTGTATTGTCAAATATTTTGTGGAAAAATATTAACATCTTTTCCGTAATAACTTTATATTCATACATTTTCTAACAATTTGTAAAAATTTAGGAGTTGGAAAATTTTCAGGATAAATCTTGAAATTTTTTTCTCATATCTGTTAACTTACTATCATCATAAATAAGACTCGTTTCTACCAGTTCGATAAATATATACATACATATGTTTTTATTTATATAAAGTTTGATAGAAAGACCGAAGTCAACAATGGATAACAAATTTTGGACTATTATTTTACGTTTTTTAACTCACTGTTCGACCAATTTTCTACGGTTTATGTGTACATTTTGACAACGCAATATTTAAACTAATGTAGTTCACTAAACCTGTTAGGAGTTAGCGCATACTCACTTTTAGAAAACCAAGAATTTATATTATAGAATATATTATAACATTAAATGAAGTACATTACAACAATGAGATTTCACTGTGCGACATCAAATAAAAAATAAAAATGTTTGATTCAAATACTAGTAGTAACTTCATAAAGGAAACCTGCTGCTGAGAATAATTTACGTTTAACAATACCAAACAGCACCTTCTGTATACGATTTGCAAAAATTAGAMACAATTCATATCATTTCGGAATAACTTTCAGAATTATAAAAACTGTGCAGACTTTTTAAATATATATATTGAGTTAGCACACTAAGCAGAATCTTAGTTTTATCCATTACAGTAACGGTTTAGTAAACTGTTCAATAGAAAACTCAAACCTTTGGTTATGTTGTTGGGTGCTGTTGAGTTCTTCAATGTGCCTTGTAATTTATGTGAGAAATAAGGACGTGTGAAAAACGACAATGGCGAAAGAAGTAACATGGCTCATCCGTCAGCGACCTTACTTTTGTTGTTACTGCCGCTAGCTCTCATAAAGAGATATAATAATGTAATTCGTCACACTTAAAGCAGACCACTGCCCGCCATCTCGCTTACACTACTGTAGTGTCAAACAAATATATCACTACCCCACTCGCACATAGCCATCCATCTTTTACGCCATACAAAACGGCACTCTCCGCCCAACCGAGCTGCTGATCAACACATTCGACTGACAGCTGCCGCACTGCACAGAGAATAGAAATGCTTTATGAGCTCGGCTCCTCCCTTTGCGATACTGCCTTGCTTTTGCCAATTGGATTGCCCGAGGAGGTAGGTATGACGGGGTTGAGAAAACATTTTTTTGTTGGTGGTGTTTCTACCAAGCTCACATCGTGGCTTCGATTTGCTCTCTTTATTTCAAGAGTTTTTATCGTGCTCACCGTGGTATAGAGCTAGCTGTATATATTATTTCTGCAGGAAGAGAGCTACACTTTCCGATGTTTAGTGGGTTCTCTCAATGGCTGTTGATTACTTTACGACTTCAGTTGAGTGAATGAGCAGCGAATAAATGAGAGGATATTTAGCAGTTCTTCGTTGTAAATGTGTTTGTGAGTATGACATTGGGTGCCCTTTGATGTATTGTTTTKTTGTTGTATGACGGAGTATTTATTATTGTTTATGACTATTATTGTTCTGCCGACGGCAAAAGCACTAATTTTGATATCGTTTCGAAAAATTAGGGTGTTATACGTATATGGTATCATACTCAGTTTTAATTTGGTGAATAGTGCTTTTATCAATTAAAGTAATCGGTATATTGAAGTACTCCAGATGAACTAAATCTCTAAATTACGAATGACAAATACACAAACAAATGTACCTTTTCCATCATTCCATAATTTGAAATACAATTAAACATTGAAAATTAATTTAATTGATTGTAAAAAAGCATTATTCATTTCTCAATAGTATTAGAAAAAAAWATATATATATTTTTATTAAATATTTAATTAAGGGTTCAAAAAATATTTATTAATTACTTTTCATCAAATTTTTTATATAAAAAATATATATGAATATGTACATAAGTATGTACAAATACTCGAGTATGCTTCTRCAAATTGATATATTATTAGATGTTGTCTTATTGAGGTGATTGGCAACTGCTGAATGAAGTTCTAACAAGCAATAAACAGTAACGCACGACTGCTTATGTTCGTATGTAATACTGTTCTATGCACATATGTATGTACATATGTATATCATTCCATTAAGCTTTCTTGTTTATTGACAGTTCTAAATTTTACTCAAATTTCGAGAGTAAATAAATTGGTTTTGGAAGCCTTCTGGGTTATTCAAGAAAATTGAGAGCGTGGAATCGTAGACACCAGCTTCTCTGCAAGGAAGAAAGAGAAATGAGTATAAGTATTAGTGATTGCTAATAAATAGAATGCCGTTAAGTTTGAGTGTTTATATCTATCAAAATAGTTATTATGTACAATAGGGTTATCCAAATTATTAAATAATAAATATCACAAAATTTTTCGTTGTTCTATTTAAAATATACAAATAATACGCGTACAAATTAATACATAACTCTTCCATTTCGTTAATTAAAACTTTTATAACTCGAATGACTAGCAAGCTCTTAACAAATTTATGAAAACAATTGGTTTTTCTTTGATGAAAACTATTACGAGCTTTGTTATGAATTTATACCTGTTTCATATACATACATATGTGCATAATTGCAATCATTTAAATGTAATATCTTTAATTTTCTTTGATGTGACGGTAACAGAAAGAAACGCGATCACCTTAAAGCTGGCAAATGGAACAGTTCATTGTGAAATAACGATATATAAAAATATTTTTTTGTAAAAAACAATACCACTACAACAGAGAGGAGTACAAACACATTCAAATAATAAGACTGTAAAAGTCTAAACCGGACCAAAAAGAGACTTCACTAAGGCAAAGATCTCACAAGTTGCAGAAACTACCAAAGAGTGAAATATACAATCAAAATAAAAGCAGTTTCTGTGTCATTGCTCGGACACACAAGCGATAAGCAAAGTGAGAGCCAAATGTGTATGAACATATTGTCAAACTATAATACCGGCTACTCTTAAAAGGGTGCATCCCCAACCTTTCAATGTACAGAAACTCACATAAATTTCAACAACCAATGAAACAAAACCAAAACAAAGAAAAATAAAACTCAGTTTAATTGAGTTGATTGCTCACTCGCTCATTGCTCTAGTTGTTGTACTCTGGTAAAAAAAAGAAACAAATTCACACGATAAATTTCGCCAATTTTCTCGGAGTACATTTTTGGTATCCAGTGCGTACTTTATTGCTTCGGCGCGCTGCCTTCGACGTAGCGTGGCCACTGAACATGTAAAATTGAAAAGCTGTGCCGCATTCAGCGTTTGCTGCCGAAGAAGAGTGTTGCTACAAAATGACATAGAAAAATAGTACCCGAAGCCGAACAGCGGCAAAAGCAATGCCTTAGATTTGAAAGCATTGTTGTGTTGTCGCTCGTAATATAAGCATTAGTGGACCAAACAGACTGTTGCGACGATCGCTCAGTTTTGTGGTTATCTTTCTAATAAGAATATTTCTGATGTATCTACTTCCGCTGCTCGCATCGACGCTTACACATTCGTCACCGCAAACGACGCTGCTAGCAGAATTTGACGATTTCAGTTTTTGCTTTTCAAATTTTCCTTTTTTTTTTGTCACTTGGCATAGCTTTTTACTAAGGGGTAAAGGGAAGGATTCCACTTCTGTGAGCTGCTAGCGAAACTTGGGAGTGTTGTTGATTCATTTGACTTTTTTGCTTCTCTATGCGTTAACTGTCTCTGTTGTTGATAATATCAAAATGCCGTTGTTGTTTATTTCTCTCCCCTATATATTACCGTGCCGTAGCTAGCGACAACGCTGGGGCCGCTCGCGATATCGTTAAGCTGCCTCAGTTGCTGCAGCTGCTACTGCTGCTGCGGGCTGTCTGCTCACTTCTGCTTACTCGCGCAGCCGTATGCCCAGACAGACCGTTTTCACATACATACATATAGCTGCCGCGCTCGTAAATATGTGAAGTATATGCCTTGAATTGAATGCTTTATGGGTTTAGTTTGATAGAAGTCGTAAAGAAATCAACATCAACATCATCTACAATACACATRGAGAAATTACCCCAAAAAATAATAATAACCGTTGGCAATAACAATAAAACAAACCGATTCTCTTAAGTAGCAAATTCCACTTGACGTGTGAACCAATGAACGGTATAATAACAATCGTTTTAATTTGCTGCACACACACAGTGAATTGGTTACCGCCGTGCAAATCATTTCATTTTCAAGGTCATTAAATTATAAAAATTTTACAAAAGGGACTTACCAAATAACATCTGCTGTTTAAGTCGAAGTTGTCCGGGTGGCATAAGTAAACTGTGTACACGAAGGAATCTGCTTCCATGGTCGGATAATAGTTGCTACCAAAATATTAGTCAAAAGGAACATCGGTTCTCAAAACATCTTTACTATGTCTACTATTTCGTTACAATCCGCAAATCATCTTCCAAGTGGGCGAGACTTTAGGGTAATGTAGACAAAAGCTGAACAAATGAATTAGCAGTTATCATAAAAATTAACGCAACGAAATCGTAAAACTTGTACAGTGTTGAGCAGCGACAGAGCGGTTAATAGCTTGTTTAAAGGGCGYAATTGCGGTTTTTGCAGCGAATGTTATTATATTACGCTCGGAGTATTAGTTCAGCCTGCAGTGTTGTGTTTGTAGTGGTAACGGTGCGTTTTATTAATAGTAAATATAATATATAAGCCATAAATAAAAGATAGATAGCAGATTACCTAACTATCACATAGAATCTTATATACGTGAACGGATAATTGTTGAAAAGCGTTATTCAAAAATAGTATAAATTGAAAAGTGCAATAATACGACAAATCTTTTTAAAAGTACTCTACTTATTATACGAATTAAAATTTTGGAGTGACATCAGCAGAAAAGGGATTACTAAATTGTGCCAATACAAAACATAAAATGGTTCCAGAACATGTAATCAACTACTGGTACAAAATTATTTAAATAATTCTAAATATATTTAGAATAAAGTCCAAAGTGAAAACCTAATGCCAAATTCTATTCTTAAATTGTTTTCTCCACCAATGCATATAACAATATAAAGTTTGTATTGATGTAATCTTCTCACCCACAATTCTAGTCGTTGATTATAAGCAATATTTTACAAACATATTTATATACACATCACAGTTATTTATTATTACAACCATAAAATATAAGTGGATAAAGAAATGGATTTCAATCTAAAAAATTATCGGTACTCTACTATCAATTAAATAAGACGATGAATTAACTAAAAATTTTACGAGATTGCCAATGTTAAGCGACTTTCAGGATATACTGCGAAATGATAAGCATATTGGCGTGTGGCGCGCAATTGTAGCAGTTTAAGAAACGCTGTGATCTCTTATACTTTGGTAATTCCTAAACCCATGTACATTGTGTTGAAAATTTTCAATAATATAACTATATATTATTAATAACGTAAGTGTGTTTGAAGAAAGAAAAATAAATAATTTCGATAAAAAGCAAAGTAGAAGAAGAATCGAAAAATTGGAGTYTATGCAAGACGAAGCACATATAGTCTATGATATTCAAAGGTAAGTTTTAAAAAAGCTAATGTATAGTATATATTATAGTTAATAGCTCGTATGTCGAGATTTCAAATAACAATACTCGCGTAATATCCATTTAACTACGTAAATTATTATCATCCATTTCATCTAATCGTTCGCGATGATGGCTAGGCTAACTTATGTTCTATGGCTGGTTTTAAGATTATCGTGAGTGATATACTAAGTAGAGACCTATATGAAGCATTTCAGTTATTAATCTCCGTATGACAATCCGTCGTGATCCCATTACAGCTTTTTTACTTAGACTTCTAAAGCTATAAGATCAAAGGCATTTCAACAATAAAATGTTCAGATGCGTCACTACTATTCTTCCAAACAAATTATACAACTGACACCGATATGATTTTTAACTTTACCGCTTGGCTACGAATTAAATATTGAACGATTGAATTCCTTGCAACTAGCGATAGCGAACATGTGTAAAGACATAGACCTCATTATATCTCTTGGGCTATACCCCGGCCAACAACGCAAGCGTGAGAAGTCGTACAGCGTCTAAGCATTCCAAAACTCATTTCGGGGGCACATTGTGACAGTCCAGGGCTAATAAAGCCACTCTAATAATGGAAAAGCGGAAATGCACATAGTCAGGTAGTTACTGGAGCAATTTCGCGGAAATCAGAGCGTAAATTTCGATACGGTCATGTATGAGTACTTTTAGCTCATCAACTCAAATACAATATTGATCAATTATGTCCTTTTTAATCCATCACATTCGAATTTTTATACTCTCGCAACAAAGTTGCTAAAGAGAGTATTATAGTTTTGCTCACATAACGGTTGTTTGTAAGTCCTAAAAATAAAAGAGTTAGATATAGGGTTATATATACAAAAGTGATCAGGGTGACGAGTAGAGTTGAAATCCGGATGTCTGTCTGTCCGTCCGTCCGTCCGTCCGTCTGTCCGTCCGTCCGTGCAAGCTGTAACTTGAGTAAAAATTGAGATATCATGATGAAACTTGGTACACGTATTTCTTGGCTCCATAAGAAGGTTAAGTTCGAAGATGGGCAAAATCGGCCCACTGCCACGCCCACAAAATGCCGRAAACCGAAAACCTATAAAGTGTYATAACTAAGCCATAAATAAAGATATTAAAATGAAATTTGGCACAAAGGATCGCATTAGGGAGTGGCATATTTGGACGTAATTTTTTTTTGGAAAAGTGGGCGTGGAACCGCCCCCTACTAAGTTTTTTGTACATACCATGGAAACTACTATAGCTATGTCAACCAAACTCTACACAGTCGTTTCCTTCAGGCATTTCCATAAACAGTTTAAAAACGGAAGAAATCGGATAATAATCACGCCCACCTCCCGTACAAAGGTTATGTTGAAAACACTAAAAGTGCGTTAACCGACTAACAAAAAACGTCAGAAACACTAAATTTTACGGAAGAAATGTCAGAAGGAAGCTGCATCCAGGTTTTTTATAAAAATTGAAAATGGGCGTGGCGTCGCGCACTTATGGACAAAAACCATATCTCAAGAAGTACTCACCCGATTTGAATGAAATTCGGTACATAATATTTTCTTAACACCCTGATGAGATGTACGAAATATGGGTTAAATCGGTTTACAACCATGCCTTCTTCTAATATAACGCTATTTTGAATTCCATCTGATGCCTTCTCTGTATAATATATCCATTAGGAACCAATGATGATAGCGGAATAAAACTTTACACAAATACGGTATTTGATGCGGGAGTATAAAATATTCGGTGACACCCGAACTTAGCCCTTCCTTACTTCTTAAATTTATACTTTCAACAACGAAAGCTATTTTTGCATTACCATAATACAGTAAAATCGCTACATTTCTGCTATAAAATCAACTTTTGAAGACTAATACCTTTACAAAGAAGAAAAATAATAGAGAGAATAAGGTCACTTATATTTCGGATTACATTATATTTTAGGCAAACCAATTTTCTTAAATATTGGCTAGATGTGGAACACTTTACTTAACAGACTTTATAACGTTTATATATATATAATAATTTGCCGTCTGTTACCCTTAACTAAATCTGGCATGATAATGTGATAGTTATGTAATTATATTTATATTATTTAACATTTTATYTATGGTAAATAATTTCAAAACTGTTGCTGCTGGCCTATGTTTCTGAAATATATTTGAATAAATTGTTTTCTTAAAAATTGTATATTCGAAAAAAGGCTATTTTCCTATAGCCATGTGCCAGTTTATAAACATTTCGGACAAGAAAACGCTACCCAAAAAAATCTTCTTCCAAATATAAAATATTTAAAAAATACTCAGCAATGAATTTTCTTACCCTTCATTAAAGTATGAAAACCATTTACAATAGCTTTTTACACAATTTGAATTTTACTTACTCGTACAATACATAAGATTTAATTTGGTTTTAATGAACTCCTTGTTAATATTACAAACAGATATAGTTCAAAGGAATACATATCATATTTGCGTACTAAATTATAATCAAAATAAATTGCAAATTGCAAATTTCAAATTAAATTCCATCATTTTGACACTCAATAATTCATAACGACGATATACATTACACACCAATGAACGTTTGAGTAGGATTGCTAGTTGCCTTATACAACAGATCATATGCTTTGAATTTTATTACTCGTATTATTTTGAATTGTTTGTTGTAATTTATTGTTGTACTGGTACTATATTTTGTGTATATATGTATGCATGCATGGACAAATACTCAAACCTGACAATTCTGCAACAAGCTTCATGCAACTGTGACGTAGTTCTGCAGTGCACTGCGTGAAGTTGCAACACGTTTATGATTTGCTGTTGACAGGCTTATTAAGCTCTACAGCCTCTTGGCATAGTGCCCCCCCACCAGCTGCGTTGCGATGCCCTGATATACTCTCGTTGTATACTTGTTTAATGAAATTTTGTGCATCCCTTTATTCGTATGCGTACTACATATACATATCGTTATGCACACATATGTATGAATACTTTGAGGATTTGCACACAGCAATACAATACACCAACTATTTCAGAAGTTATGACCGCTTTGAACTTGGAGCTTTATATTTGAGTTATTAAATGTATGTAGCATAAATGGCAAGGGAATTATTAAACATGTATATGTTTGTGGTAGCAACGGTGTATATGAGAGTTCCATTAGCAAAATTTTAACCTATGTTGCCGTCTTAAAAAAAAAAGTGATATTAAATGAAACTAACACTTTCCTCAAAGTAAGTACATGAAATATTAAAAAAAAAATTGTATAAGCAACATAAACAATATATTTCGATATTTGAGCATCTGTAGTATATTTCTGAAAAAAATATTAACGCGTAATCGAATTTAATGAAAGTGGCAACACTTGCTGCAACTTTGTTCATTGCGCACGATTGCGCAGTGGTCCCACATTTGCAATAACAGTGCAAGCGAAAGGGATAACTTCTGGACATGGGCTGCAAATGTCTGATGTGATAATGAAGGATACTAGCATTGTTAGAGTTTGTCCGTATTCATATATGTACATATATACATAAATGCTCTAACTTTGTCGTACGAATATTTTTTCTGTGACTAGATTTTTACTTTTCATTTATGTTGTGATTTAGATATGTATCCGATGAAATAGTATTCACTAAAATGAGGACATACGGTTATTTTTCGAAAGTTATAAGAAAAATGATATATGGACCTCAGCGTCAGAGTCTCAGGTAAATATGTGAAAAATCTTTCTAAAAGTCGGATTATATATTTTTCTAGAGATAAAATGTCGTGTTACAAATAATGGATAACACCAAAGCTTACTTCCCCAGCTCCCATCTACCTAATATTTGAACTTTCCGTTGAGCTTAAAGAATTTAGTATATCATCTAGTTCCAATAACAGTGTATTGTTGTGCATAACATCAAACAAATCGGGCCACCTCAGCTTAATATAACCGTATTTTATAAAATAAGCAAATGTTTTATCGAAACTAAGTTCCAAAAATGCGTGTGTGATACTAATTAGATTTCTATAAAATAATTTGAATATGAACCGAACTAGTATAGATCTTGGCTTAAATTTAATGGATACGTTCCTCCTATAGATATATAATATATTAAATTTAATTTCAGATAAATATTTCAGAGAATCAAAATGTTGTATTGAAACTAAGTAAGTSTAGAGTAAATAACATAAGTTAACAAGATAGCCAATTTAGGACTGTAATCGATAAGATTTCTTTGAACAATGTCTATTGATTTCATATGCAACATTAGATCTATTCAAATTGCGACATTAATATTTCTTTTTCTGTTTATTTTTTGACTTATTAGCAAACTAAAATGTTCAATATGTAGTTAAAATACAAAACTAATTTATTTTAAATAATCTTATAAAAAAAATCAGCTTTTGAAATATCTTATTTAAGTTTTGCGAGGAAGCTTTGAGTTCGATTTAGTTTTGATATCGACATACTTTCATTTTGATGGCTGTGTGATATGTGCGATATCGCAGTGAACCGTAAACGATTCCTAACTCCGTATAATAGGTAGCAGAAAGTTTCATAGTAGTACAAATTTTGATTTTGCCCGGAATAGCCTTTCTTTACTTGTTTTGATTGTACTTCTTATATTTCGCTAGAACTTTTTGTATCATCAGTAGTTCAGCACTGTGTTCGTCCATTCCCTCCTTGGTCTGCAACTCATTGTCGCCCATATCTTTATGTTATAAATCATTGTCAGTTGTTCAATGTACTGCAATGTCACCATGAGTGGAGCGCTCCCGCTGTGGTTGCAAGTACTTATGTTAAAGCGTTGCAGCCCAACACCAAGCGTCATTAGGAAATAGTAGTGGAACAAAACCTATTCTGTGGAAAAAGCGCGCAAAAAGCACAGTCAACTCAAGCTTTTTAGCATGAAAATAGTCTACTACATCGGACCCWTGAACCAGTCAACTGTAAGTCTCTTAACCCTACAGGGACAATATGCCAGAAATTGTAAACTTTC